ATATGAGTTAAAATGTATCACTTGGGGGTGAAGAGATTTTAAAGAGGGAGGAGGGGGGGGGGGGGGGGGGGGTGGGGGGGGGGGGGGGGGAGGGGGGGGGGGGGTGGGGGGAAGGGGGGGGGGGGGGGGGGGGGGAGGGGGGGGGGGGGGGGGGGGGTATGGTGGGGGGGGGGGGGGGGGGGGGGACTTGGGGGGGGGGGGGGGGGGGGGGGGGGGGGGGGGGGGGCGGGGGGGGGGGGGGGGTGGGGGGGGGGGGGGGGGGGGGGGGGGGGGGGGGGGGGGGGGGGGGGGGGGGGGGGGGGGGGGGGGGGGGGGGGGGGGGGGGGGGGGGGGGGGGGGGGGGGGGGGGGCATTCCGGGAATTTAAAATTAATGAAGAGAAAAGTATTGATTAACCATTTGATTAATTAGTTTCTGTTTTTTTCCCAAAGAATCTTAATTTCATTCGCTCTCTTAGACTTAATTAATCAATTGCAAGTGAAGTTCTTCAGGAAATGATTACTGCGAGGACCTGCAAAATAAACTTATCAGGCAGTCGATTAAGGAACGCTCGAGTATGAGTTAAAATATATCACTTTGAGAGAGATTTAACTTTCATTTAAATTCTTGCTTAATTTTCATGTTATAAATGATATTCATTGCACTCATTGTTATTATTTTTCTCGAAAAGACGATCTTTTTAATAGTAAATGTTGGATTAGTTCGTAATCGATTTGTAATAACGTAGGTATAATTTCTGAGTATCATCTTGCTTTACGTACTACTGTATTTAAAAACAAAACACATTAGCTTTCAAGAGTATGGCATTAAAATAAATGGCTTTGAAAATACATTATGTATGTCGCATGAGTCGAATATAATTTTGAAGCTGCATTATGTAAGAACTGTACCAAAATAAATGCAAAATGTGAAAAACTTATGCAAAGAAAACAAAAATAATGACTTAGTTTGAGAGAACAATTTGCAACTTCTTTAACATAAAATCAGCGTTTATCGTATTTGTTAGCGTATTATTTTCTTTCACGTAATTTTGCCTCTAGCAAAGTCAGAGCATGGTTTAGAGGAGGGTTAACCCTAAAGAGCAGGCCTCTCGAAACACGATTTTGCGTTGCTTCGATTTTCACTCGAGTCTGTTGCCATTCGGAAACACGTAAAATTATTCTTCCATATTTAATCTGTCTGTTATTAATTAGTAAACTAAATTATTGCCTCCCAGCCTGTATGGTGGTTAGCGTCGCTGACTGCCGTGCCAAAGGGCCCTGGTTCGAATCCTGGATAAGGCATGGAATATTTGTATGTACAGTGTCTCTACGGCATGGAGCACTCTAAATATGCGGCGATCCGAAAGTCCTCTCAAGAGGCTGGTGTAGGGGAGGAGGGGAGGATGAACCTTGGAACCGTCCCCCCCGTGGAAATGTCCATCAAAATTGGGGGGGATGCGGAACCAAGCTCAATCGCATTCTCACCTGTGAGGTGCTCAAGGCTGTTGCAAATGATAGACGTAAAACCTGCGCTCTTTTCCACGAGGATTTTGGTGGGCTTGGGCTGACTATAGACCAGGTGGTGGTGGTATTAGATATATGGCGCAAAGCTCTAGAGGCCATATGAGCCAAACGCAGGATTCGTTTTTTAACATAAGAACTAAAGCTTTTAGATTAAAAAAAAAAGGTCTAAAGACAACATCACACTTTTAAAATCAAGGCAAGTAAAAAGATAATGAAATAGTGGGATGAAAATGGTGATTATGATCAGATAATGAGATATGCAGTATAGATATAAAATCCTAAAACATGTGATTCATTTAAAATTCTAACATAAAATCTCAGGACAAAATTCAGATTAAATAATAGAAACCTGTTTCCCTTAGGTAGTGAAACAAATTGTTCTTGACCTCTCTTCCGATTAAACGGTCGAGAGGCAGGTCGCAGCTATTAAAATACTTCTCACGAAGACGACTATTAAAATATGGACATTCAATTAAAATGTGATAGACTGAAAGACAAACATCACAATTTGCACAAACTGGCTCGTTCTCAGCTTTCAGAAGGTAGTTATGTGTCACTCTAGTATGACCAATTCTAAGGCGAGTCAAAAGAAAATCCTCTTCCCTGCGATTGCTAGTAGTATCCCAATGCTCTATTTTAGGCTTCACCCTTTTCAACTTGTTATGAAGTTCAATGTCCCAAAGTTGCTGCCATTTCTTTCTGATCTTCTCTTTGAGGGCACAACGGATATCTCTAAAAGGGATGAGGCGGTCAGACATTTCAACAGCATATTTCGCAGCGATGTGCGCCAGCTCATTGCCCTTTATTGCTGTATGTCCGGGGACCCAGTAGTACAGAATTTCATATCCGCAACTTGTAAATTTAATATTCAACTTGAGAACATCCACTATCACAGTATTCTCAGTGCTAGAAAAGAATTCTAAAGCTTTCAGTGCACTGTAGGAGACTATAAACCAGACAACTGAGCATTAGCAACAACAACACCAACTAAATCATTTAAAAGTAGTAGATACAATTATAAAATTATTATTTGTATACTTAATCTGATTGGTTTAGATAAAAATGAATTTAATTGATGACATATTTAATTAAAAACATTAAATATTTTTCCACGTTTTACATATACAAAATGTATGTAATGTTCTCATGTTAGTCTAAATACATATTCATCTGATATCTTATGAAATGTTTCTCCAATCCACATGGGACATGTCTATTTATAATCTCTACTGACAAATCCCATTAAACTTTAAAAGAGCCCTTTTGGGCGATCGTTAAAATCTGAAGCCTTTCAGATTTTTTTAAATATTTTTCTAACTAACATAATTTTAAATTTACTCTGTGACTTCAGAAAGTGGACTTCTGCACGAGGATAAACCAGTTTCTATAATGCATCAGATTGTTAGTCTTTATACATATATTTCAAAGCTGTTCATTCAAGCCTTTTAGAATCATGCAAGGACGTTCAACCTCCCCTTCTTTGAAAGTAAAGGAAGGAAGAAAGTCCAAACAAATTTTAAAGATTCCACTTCTGGAAACTGAATACCAGGATGTGTAATAAAGAAAGTACAATGCATTCAAGGAGAGTGAATGTCCCATCTCCTTTGGAAATGGCGTAATTGCTGTGACAGTTAAATTTCGCACCGTTTCTTTGTGGCTTACGCCATCCCAACAGGAATCTTAGAGCTCTGAAATTGCAATTTCTAATCTTAACCTTGCTTTGATTCTCTAAACATTAAATATTGTCCTTTTAAAACTAATTTTAATGTAATCTTCAGATTAAAATTAGCAGGTTTATAAATAAATGTATTTTCATTTGTAGTCTAAGAAATGGATACCACATATATATTTTTTACTTTTTCTTCAGAATTCCCCGATTGTTCCCTTCTTAGATTTTAAGAGGTAAAAAGGATCAGTTCACGTGATTCAGGATATTTCAAGGAATGAATTTGTTTTCCTTATTCTCTTATTTCTTAACTTTCATGCATATTAAAGGATATTCTTACGGATAAGTGTAACGTAATTATATCCTGCTTAAAGATTACAAATGCTGAATTTTAATGTAACCTTCACATTATTCATAGTTCTATATTTCATACCAGCTGGCCATTTATAATATACTAGAAAGCCTGGCGGTCATACGAAATGACCGCTGTTCTAGATATTATAAATTGTACTTAAAATGGTTTGTACAAAGGTGTCTGCTAATTCAAACTGAATTACCCAGGGCAGGCGGCGATGACGCCCCTTTGCTTACTGCCCCACGGGGTTTCCCCCTTCTATTTTCTTAATTGCTTAAAGTAGAGTGCAATGAAGGAAAACACTGGCGGTACATTTCTTAACAGTCACCGCTAGCTCAATAAATAAAGGTGATTTAAATAATAAAATGTTAATTCACATGTCAAAGATTTCTTTGTACACCGCTAGCTCAATAAATAAAGGTGATTTAAATAATAAAATGTTAATTCACATGTCAAAGATTTCTTTGTACACAACATTTCTTGTGTAGGTTTTTCCATCATTTTTAATCTCGCTTTGCAGAGGACCATCCATTATTTTTAATTTTACGTTCGGTTTTTCACAAACTCTTCAACAGGCAACATAAAGTTGACCGTGCCCAAATGCAGGCTCAGGTAAAAAATGCCAACACGCTTAAGCGTTCGGCCCTGAGACTTATTGATGCAGAGATGATGATGATAGCAGAGGCAAGTTTTACAGGAAATTGTCTACGTCTCAATTGAAACGGCAACCCCGTACCATGGCAACTTCACACCATTGGCTAGTACAGTTACGCAAGCAAACATAAACTATCGGCGATAAACAGATACTTAAGCCGCATATACATATGGGGTGAAGTAACATCATCTCCTCCGAAACGGCTGGCTCCCGGGCTTAGCGAAGCAAAATAATTTTCCCTACGTTTTCCCTACATTTTTCACTATCTTTCTTGGGTTTTCCCTATTAGGTAGATTTGGTTACGTGCCAAAATTTTTTTCTCGAATATCTACGGAACGGCTCCGAGTTAAAATTTGAGACGCGTATCCTCGGATTCCAAAAATTTCTCCGAATCCATCGATACCCTTCTCATCTTCGTACGATGTCAATCGGTTGAGATATTAATTAAAAACTGCGGAAACGTTAATTTCCACGCTCATTTTTCCGAGTGGCAACAAATAAACTATCGGCGACACACACTTTAGCCGCTTATATAATATAAAGATGTGCAGAAAAACACTGAAGTGCCACTCAGAAAACGTGTATAAATGGGAAAGACCTGTAATCTAAATTTTATTTTCAGAATGTGATTCATACTACTGCTTTTATTCGAATTTAATTGGAATATCATGTTTTAAATTTATCAGGTTATCCAATCATGTTAGTAGCGTTATGTATACGAATGCTTTTTTTGTTGATATCATTTAATATTGTCTTAAGTAAATAGAATTTGATTTCATTTTCGTAAGCCTAATATTCTTTTATCTTGTTTTCCTTTCAGCCTGGCCAGGAAAATCCATCCGCCGTCCTGTGGGTTGTAGATGTCCGTAGCCCCAGCAGAATACTTCAAAGAGATGTGAAACCACCAAGGGAGGTCCAGGATCAATTAGTTCACGTGTGGTTTGTGGTTACTATACTTTTCTACTCATTTTGCCTTCATTCCTGTTTCGCATTTCTAGCTAGAAATTCTTTATGGAATATTTGCTCGTTGCGGTTGCTTCTAAAACGTTGCACTTAAACTAGCTTTTTTCCTAAAACATTAAATTAGATAATGGACTCCTTTTGTAAAACATGATATTAGGAACCTTATGATTCTGCATTAACGGGTGTCCTGCGATCTGTAAGTTGCTTAACGACAAGCTACGCTTCGGTAAATAACTTGTTAGCTTTCTGGTTCATACACTTCATACCAGAAACTAGACCTAATTTGCTGAATTATCTTACTGAATTTTCATTCATTTTCTTTTATTTTTAATATACTATACCATCTTTATTACCAGAAAGTATTTTCAATAAAACTATTTTTCTCAAAATATTATTATACTAAATCATAACTGCTGAATTATATCATTCTTGCAAACATGTGATTAACATTAAGAAGAAAATTTCACATATTTTACATAACAGAATCACATATTTTACATATGTTTATATTATTATATTTTATAGGCCTCAATGTATGTACATCCAAGATTATCTCGAAATCTTATTATCTACTTGAATCGAAAAGATCGCTAAAATTTTCTAACGGTTTCATATTATTTTTTTAGTGTTTGTATTACTGTAGAAGCTAATTATGTTAGCATTCTGCTGTAGCCCAACAATGGCTGAGCGGCATAAACCCTGAACCCGGATTTTAAAATCTTAAAATGGGCTGGCAGCATAGGACTTTATGTGGTTTTCCTCATGCGTAATATAAATACGAACCAGTTTCCATTAGAAAGTCCTCCACGAAGACATCGCTTCATTTAAACCAAATCGATTGTGACTACACACTACTTTAAAAAGACCCTTTTCATGGACCGTCAGTTTGTTAATATTCCTTAACGATATCAATGAATGACTTACGGAATTAAACTTATAATTATTAGTTGTTTTGTCCAGAATCTGATTTGGAGTGGCTTTATTTATTTTCTATTATTCCGCCTGCTTCACCTCTTAACGGACACTACAGGTCTGTCATGTTATCCTGATCGTTGCACCAGCAAACATTTTTTGATTGTTTATCTTTTCAATCTTATTATTAATAAACAAATATAACATTAGTATATTACTTTTGTTGGGTGCTCCAACTTACAATGTTTTAGGTTAGTTGGTATAAAATTAGAAAAAAGGGTTAGTTAGTTTAGAGATATTTACACATATACATGAATAGAGGCTTGCCGCCTTTACATTTCGTCAGGTGCCTAGACCTGGTTATCTGCTATGATAACCAGGATTATGGCAGTGGTTTAATAAACTACCTGCCTACACAATTTCGGGGGCTTTTCTGTGTACAATGTAGCATTTCCGTTACAAAATCCTCCGCAAAAATGTTTGATTTTCAGATTACTTTGACATGGTTTTTCGTAGGGTACATAACTTTCTACTGCAAATTGAAATTACACCATGCAGTTATTTCGAAGGCCATTATCCAAACTGTAAAATTTGCAGACATAATATTTCATTATACGCCAATATTTGAATATATTGGTCATTCAGTGCAATCAATTCAGCAGCTGAATTAATCATGTAAGAATAATAGCTGCATTTTGCATCTTGAAGTATGATGCATTTCTCTTTTAAAGAAATTGTTCAGATTAACAATGAAATAAATCGAAATAATTTACTTGAATTTTTATTTTTAGTAAAGTACCGCAGCTTAATTAGCATTCAAATCACTGAGTTGGTGTCGGTAGTCCTACAATATCAACTTCAGTGGTAGTCAATGAGAAGCACTATGCCATTACTCTTTTTTTTCCACGGTATAGCAATTAAGAGCGATTAATGTTTGACCTAATTTAAATAATCGAAGTCTTTGTTAAAAATGCAAAGTGATTTTTTTTTTTTTTTTTTTTTTTTTTTTTTTTTTTTTTTCATGAAGAAGCTGATAATTTCCTTTTTCTAATAAACTTTTTCCGATACTGTAGGATATTGGGAGCTAATTAGAAGAAAGTAATTTTCCCATTTCTCTCCACAAGCTATTCTCGTCGTTTCATTTTAATACCCTAGTTTCCAATAAAAAGTTTTAAAAAAATCTAATTTTGCAAGAAATATTCATTTCTTTAAGCATATCATGCATAACTGAAGTAAAGCTTTATCGTTTCTATCTGACCTATACAAAGATAGTAAAGGTATACGTTTTCCTAATACGTGTAGAACTATTGAAATTTGAAAATTGCAAACCTCAGTGGCATGGCCTATGCCGAAATAACTGCATGGTGTAATTTTAAATTGCAGCAGAAAGTTATGTACCCTTCGGAAAAAAAAAAAAAAAAAAAAAAAAAAAAAAAAAAATTACACAGTTCGATATCTCTTGTTCTACTGGGACTATTGACGAAACTAAACTTGCGTTTTTCAGGTCTCGAAAGCGCGACTTAGGATATGTATTAAATTTATATATAGCATTGTTTGAACATAGGTATTATGACACAAAATTGGATTTTTTTCTGAAATGACAAAATAAGTATTTTTATCCATATTTCGATCCTACACCTTAAATCATGCCTAAATATTAAATTTTGTAAAATCTGAAGAGAAATTTACCGAGAAATTTAAAAATTTATCTTGGCGCACTTTTTTTACTTTGAGTCAAGAATAATTCACTTGGCGAAATTCTTAATTTATATGGTAACCTATTTTACTTTCCCTTTCATTGTGCCCGAGAGGAAACAAAATATGCCTTAAAAATCCGTAAACCACGTTAGGCGTTATTATTGCTTGAAACAGAGATACCAAATTTCAAATGCGCCAATTTCTGAATTCATGTATATCTTTGGAAATTTTGAACAAAAAACTACATTAAAATATTTACAGGTACGCTTAGAAATATATCTACTTTATGATGATTGGAAAAAAAACTATAGGATATAATTCAAAAAGTTTTTCGAAAAAATTATAAAAATTCCTAACAAATACAAATTTTGAAAACAAATCATAAAATAGCTGAGATTTTATTAATTGAATTTAAATTTCGAATTGGGGAAAAAAAGGAATCCAGTAAGTTTAATTAATAAAAACAAAAGTTAATAAATATATACCAAATTCAAATAACATTGAGGAGCTAAAATTTTGAGAGCTAAGTTTTTAAAAACTACTAGTGCTTTATAGAAATTATTTAGAATACAAATTTTAAAAATAAATCATAAAAAATGGGCGGATTTTATTTGGAATGACCCTAAATTTCGAAATGTGAAAGAAAGAATCAAATAGGTTTAATAAAAAAAGGGGAAAATAATAATTATGTACCTAATTCAATTACCGTTGGCATATTTCACAAGTGCACATCTGCGTAGCCACCGAGGGAGTGGCTTCTAGGCTGGACCAATGGGCATACAGTAATATTTCTGTCATGTCACATGACCTTTCGCGTGCTTTAAGATTTAAACAAGATGGTTGAAAATATTTTGCCACGCAATTTTCTGTACAGAATAATTAAAGCAACGTCGATTTTTTCTGAAAGTCTTCATTGTAAATTTAGATCAAATATAAAACAATTCTGAAGATTTCACTATCTGGTTGAAAGAATTTGAAATAAATACAAACACATATTTGACACTCCAAAAATATCCATGTGAAATATTACTTAATAAAAGGTAAATAAGATGAAGAAAGAAATATGTGATGAACATCTGATCCCAAATGCTATCTTTACATAAAACTATGCATATGAGAAAAATATTTACACCAATTATATATGTAAATAGAAGTCAGCACTTTTTATTGCAATCTATATGAAAAAGATGTTCTATAGTAGTAGCCAATGCAGAATTTTATTCAAAGTAAACTTTACTAATTTGCATTGGTATTCATTTAGTGAGTTAAATTTCACATTTAAGAACTGCTCACTCTTAAATATACTGTTTACACAAGAAATACTCAGCAAACACTTTCAGGTCCTTCTCAACTCAATTAAAAACCTATACACTTGAATTCTGTTAATCCACAGGTGTTAGTAAATGGGTATATTCGAAGATTAATTGTAGCGTGAGTCATTTTCTTAATGTAAAGAACCATAATCCAAATAATAATGCGTGATAAAAAATCGCGAAAGTGAAATGGTCAGCAATTAAGTAAACTCATAAAACGAAATTACTACGAGATTTTCTGCTACGCCGTACAATTTATAACTGCAATGTAAAACATAAAACATAACACATATGCTCATATGCACGAAGATTTAGCGTCATAAGGGTAATAGAAGCCAATTGGTCCACTTTTCGAAACTCCTCCCTCAGTGGCTACGCTGATGTGCACTTGTGAAATATGCTTACCGTTGAGGAGCTAAAATTTCGATAGCTAATTTTTTAAAAACTACTCGTGCGATTTTTATAAAATTTGGTAGTTTGGCGTAATTTGAGTCGTAGAATTGAAAAGATATGGGAAAAAAATTGGTATGTTATTTCAGAAAAAGTCCGATTTTATGTCAAACTACCTATATTAGATAAATGATATATATAAATCTAATGCATATCCTAAGTTGCGCTTTCGAGACATGAAGAGCCCACCAGCGGCCGAGCGGTAAAGTCGCTGAACACTGGTAGTTCGGTCCGAGGTTCGAATCCCGCGAACGGGCTGGCTGCATGGGTGTTTTCGTGGTTTTCCCCATGTGCAACGTGTATACGAGTACGAGCCAGTTTCCCTTAGAACGACCTCCATGAAGGCATCCCTCCTCTTTGGCAGATAGCCCTAGTGTGCTTTGCCATAATTAAATACACACACACACGAGACATGAAGAACGCAAGTTGAATTTCGTCGATCGCCCCAGTTGAACAAGAAATATAGAATTGTCCCGCCCTTTTTTCCAGGAATAACATTTTATTCGACGCCCAACTAACGATATGAAGCTTCATTCGAATAGCTAACATACAGAAAATGTAGCATAACAAATCTCACTCAAATAGCTACACAACATAGAGAAA